GTGGTGTGGCCCTGGTCCCTGGTGGTGTGGCCCTGGTCCCTGGTGGTGTGGCTCTGGACCCTGGTGGTGTGGCCCTGGTCCCTGGTGGTGTGGCTCTGGTCCATGGTGGTGTGGCCCTGGTCCCTGGTGGTGTGGCCCTGGTCCCTGGTGGTGTGGCCCTGGTCCATGGTGGTGTAGCCCTGGTCCCTGGTGGTGTGGCCCTGGTCCCTGGTGGTGTGGCCCTGGTCCCTGGTGGTGTGGCCCTGGTCCCTGGTGGTGTGGCCCTGGTCCCTGGTGGTGTGGCCCTGGTCCCTGGTGGTGTGGCCCTGGTCCCTGGTGGTGTGGCCCTGGTCCATGGTGGTGTGGCCCTGGTCCCTGGTGGTGTGGCCCTGGTCCCTGGTGGTGTGGCCCTGGTCCATGGTGGTGTGGCCCTGGTCCCTGGTGGTGTGGCCCTGGTCCATGGTGGTGTGGCCCTGGTCCCTGGTGGTGTGGCCCTGGTCCCTGGTGGTGTGGCCCTGGTCCCTGGTGGTGTGGCCCTGGTCCCTGGTGGTGTGGCCCTGGTCCCTGGTGGTGTGGCCCTGGTCCCTGGTGGTGTGGCCCTGGTCCCTGGTGGTGTGGCCCTGGTCCCTGGTGGTGTGGCCCTGGTCCCTGGTGGTGTGGCCCTGGTCCCTGGTGGTGTGGCCCTGGTCCCTGGTGGTGTGGCCCTGGTCCCTGGTGGTGTGGCCCTGGTCCCTGGTGGTGTGGCCCTGGTCCCTGGTGGTGTGGCCCTGGTCCATGGTGGTGTCCCTGGTGGTGGTGTGGCCCTGGTCCCTGGTGGTGTGGCCCTGGTCCCTGGTGGTGTGGCCCTGGTCCTGGTGGTGTGGCTGGTCCTGGTCCCTGGTGGGTGTGGCCCTGGGTGGCCCTGGTCCATGGTGGTGGCCCTGGTCCATGGTGGTGTGGCCCTGGTGGTGGTGTGGCCCTGGTCCCTGGTGGTGTGGCCCTGGTCCCTGGTGGTGTGGCCCTGGTCCCTGGTGGTGTGGCCCTGGTCCCTGGTGGTGTGGCTCTGGTCCATGGTGGTGTAGCCCTGGTCCCTGGTGGTGTGGCCCTGGTCCCTGGTGGTGTGGCCCTGGTCCTGGTGGTGTGGCCCTGGTCCCTGGTCCCTGGTGCCTGGTCCCTGGTGGTGTGGCCCTGGTCCATGGTGGTGTGGCTCTGGTCCATGGTGGTGTGGCTCTGGTCCATGGTGGTGTGGCCCTGGTCCCTGGTGGTGTGGCCCTGGTCCCTGGTGGTGTGGCCCTGGTCCCATGGTGGTGTGGCCCTGGTCCCTGGTGGTGTGGCTCTGGTCCCTGGTGGTGTGGCCCTGGTCCCTGGTGGTGTGGCCCTGGTCCCTGGTGGTGTGGCCCTGGTCCATGGTGGTGTGGCCCTGGTCCCTGGTGGGGTGGCCCTGGTCCCTGGTGGTGTGGCCCTGGTCCCTGGTGGTGTGGCCCTGGTCCATGGTGGTGTGGATCCTGGTCCATGGTGGTGTGGCCCTGGTCCCTGGTGGTGTGGCCCTGGTCCATGGTGGTGTGGCCCTGGTCCCTGGTGGGGTGTGGCCCTGGTCCATGGTGGTGTGGCCCTGGTCCCTGGTGGTGTGGCCCTGGTCCATGGTGGTGTGGTCCCTGGTCCATGGTGGTGTGGCCCTGGTCCCTGGTGGTGTGATCCTGGTCCATGGTGGTGTGGCCCTGGTCCCTGGTGGTGTGGCCCTGGTGGTGTGGCCCTGGTCCCTGGTGGTGTGGCCCTGGTCCCTGGTGGTGTGGCCCTGGTCCCTGGTGGTGTGGCCCTGGTCCCTGGTGGTGTGGCCCTGGTCCATGGTGGTGTGGCCCTGGTCCATGGTGGTGTGGCCCTGGTCCCTGGTGGTGTGGCCCTGGTCCATGGTGGTGTGGCCCTGGTCCATGGTGGTGTGGCCCTGGTCCATGGTGGTGTGGCCCTGGTCCCTGGTGGTGTGGCCCTGGTCCCTGGTGGTGTGGCCCTGGTCCATGGTGGTGTGGCCCTGGTCCATGGTGGTGTGGCCCTGGTCCCTGGTGGTGTGGCCCTGGTCTATGGTGGTGTGGCCCTGGTCTATGGTGGTGTGGCCATGGTGGTGTGGCCCTGGTCCATGGTGGTGTGGCCCTGGTGGTGTGGCCCTGGTCTATGGTGGTGTGGCCATGGTGGTGTGGCCCTGGTCCATGGTGGTGTGGCCCTGGTCCCTGGTGGTGTGGCCCTGGTCCCTGGTGGTGTGGCCCTGGTGGTGTGGCCCTGGTGGTGTGGCCCTGGTCCCTGGTGGTGTGGCCCTGGTCCATGGTGGTGTGGCCCAGGTCCATGGTGGTGTGGCCCTGGTCCCTGGTGGTGTGGCCCTAGTCTATGGTGGTGTGGCTCTGGGCCACAGTATCGATGATAGCCGTGGCACCGTGCCAGGCCCGGAGTCACTCTCCCGTGTTCCAGTGCCTCTCTCACACTGCACCCTCACTCTCTCTCTCACTCTCTCCACCCTCACACTATCTCCACCCTCATCCCCCTCCTCACCCCCTACCCCCACCCCCTCCCCACCCTCACAGCACAGATATCTCACAGGACAGATATCTCACAGCACAGATATCTCACAGCACAGATATCTCACAGGACAGATATCTCACAGGACAGATATCTCACAGGACAGATATCTCACAGCACAGATATCTCACAGGACAGATATCTCACAGGACAGATATCTCACAGCACAGATATCTCACAGCACAGATATCTCACAGGACAGATATCTCACAGCACAGATATCTCACAGCACAGATATCTCACAGGACAGATATCTCGCAGCACAGATATCTCACAGCACAGATATCTCACAGCACAGATATCTCACAGCACAGATATCTCACTAGACAGATATCTTACAGGACAGATATCCTTTGTTGGAAAACAAAGCGTTGATACCATTGGTTTGAAAACTGGGACACTTCTCATTATAGTTAGCATTGTATATCACCTAACAACACGTAACTCAAGCAGCTGAACAGCTACAATGAGTCAAATGGTGGCTCTAAAAATTGGATTTCTAAAAATGAAAATAGGCACATTTTCCTTAAGGCTAATTATGCAAAGAATAGGGACAACGATTTTTAATATATTTTTGTAGGTTTTGTCCTGAATGAGAAATAGGAAATCTAGAACTTACTAATATTAAAATACAGAACATTGTAGGTTTTAAAGTAATTACACTCAAATTTATGGGTACAAACTCTTAATATACGAGTATATCAATAATGTTATGATTCAAACCCTTAATATGCGAGTATATCAATAATGCTATGATTCAAACCCTTAATATTCGAGTATATCAATAATGTTATGATTCAAACCCTTAATATGCGAGTATATCATTAATGTTATGATTCAAACCCTTAATATGCGAGTATATCAATAATGTTATGATTCAAACCCTTAATATGCGAGTATATCAATAATGCTATGATTCAAACCCTTAATATGCGAGTATATCAATAATGTTATGATTCAAACCCTTAATATGCGAGTATATCATTAATGTTATGATTCAAACCCTTAATATGCGAGTATATCAATAATGTTATGATTCAAACCCTTAATATGCGAGTATATCAATAATGTTATGATTCAAACCCTTAATATACGAGTATATCAATAATGCTATGATTCAAACCCTTAATATGCGAGTATAACAATAATGTTATGATTCAAACCCTTAATATACGAGTATAACAATAATGTTATGATTCAAACCCTTAATATGCGAGTATAACAATAATGTTATGATTCAAACCCTTAATATGCGAGTATATCAAGAACCACTTTGGTATGTGTTATATTATTGTTCTTCAAGAGAACTGGTTAAAATCCGATGCATCGATAAAATCCTCTCAAAATGTATATAATTGGTCGCTTTACACTGCCAGCACTGAAATGTATGATAACTGGTAATATCCTGATCAACCAGGCTGTGATGCATACGTCAGGCTGCGAGCAGTCGCTCCCCAACAGCCTGGTTGAGGGGGTCATGAATGCCTGGTTCCGCGGGGTACCTTTGACCTCTTTAAATCAACGTAAAGTATCCGTAAGGTCAGGTCCTGGAGGATCTAATGAAGGTACTGCTACCCTGAGGCATAGCATCATGTGTATACATATGTGTATATGTGTGTTATCATGAGATATTGAGGTTATCTTGAGATATTGAGGTTATCTTGAGATGATTTCGGGGCTTTTAGTGTCCCCGCGGCCCAGTCCTCGACCAGGCCTCCACCCCCCCACGAAGCAGCCCGTGACAGCTGACTAACACCCAGGTACCTATTTTACTGCTAGGTAACAGGGGTAACATAGGGTGAAAGAAACTCTGCCCATTGTTTCTCGCCGGCGCCTGGGATCGAACCCAGGACCACATGATCACAAGTCCAGCGTGCTGTCCGCTCGGCCGACCGGCTCCCTATGTGTATACATGTGCCTTGTTTCACCAGCAAAACCAAGTGAACAGGTGTGTACACACCTGTTCTGGCTGAAGTACCTAAATTGACTAATTCATGTCACGATTGCCTCAGGATTAGTAAGCGATTGTAACACCAATTTTTATCCAGCTGCAGTTTTAAATTTGTTTAATGCCTTCACCAATCCTGAAAATTTACATAATCTCTCTCTCAATTATGAATTTAATATCACTTAATTTCCTGTCACGGGATGGGTGAGGAAGGGACGTCCCACCATGCTCAGGGACGTCCCACCCTGTCCAGGGACATCCCACCCTGTCCAGGGACATCCCACCCTGTCCAGGGACATCCCACCCTGTCCAGGGACATCCCACCGTGTCCAGGGACATCCCCCCCTGCCCAGGGACAGAGACGACAGAACAAATAGCAACCCAGCGCAGGGCTGAAACCTTGTCAAAATTGATGTCAATAGCTTACGGAAACTGTAACATATAATTGGTTAATTTACCCTAATATCTTGGCCGTGGTCTCCGGCACCGGTCTCACACGTCTAAGATGATGTTGAACAATTGAACTTACCGTCTTGAGAACACGAGCGTAACTTGTCCTGGAGTGGAGTTCACCAATCCACCTCTCGATATCATGGCTAAGTTGGCTAAATGATCTGGGGAGAGAGAAAGATAACAGCTCGTGAGATATCTTGGACGAAGTGCGTTCATTTCTCAATAGAAACATTGAAAACTTGATCAAGAAAATATCGAGTTTTATTAAACACTTCGTTTTCTTATATTAAAATGAACATTGATAATACAGACAAAATTAATTAATACCGAGATTAATATATCTACTTTTAAGGATTTATAGTACCTAATGTTTTGGCTCCAAACTGGACTCTTTATGACCCCAAGAGACATGGCAGGAAGTGCAAAAAAAAAAAATCCCCCATTGCTAAATGTTAAATACGTTCACGAACGGGAAATTTCTACGAACATAAATTGATGTCTGTTTGAACACTGAATGTGTGCTCAACATTCTCCCCTTATATAGGGGCCATTACTTACCATTAGCACTATTATATTACACTATTATGAGAGCTAATTATGGGTCACTACATCACCGCTGTTATGTTGTGTCAAATCATATATGTATATATTGCGCAGTTTGAGGGTTAAGCCACAGTTAGTGTGACTCTGGGAATATAAATAATTATATCTAGTGGATGTGTGATATCTAGTGGATTATTATCATGGATAATAATAGCATAAGATAGTAAATATTTACAATGAATTACTGTTCATGGGTCCAATTACATCCATACAGATTTACAAATTAGGATCAGTATTGAGAAATAAGACTTTTTCACCCTAAATAACACAAGAGAATGTATGGGTCACAAATCACCGCCTTCAATAGGTAGGAAACTAATCATAAGTGTTTATAAGCAAGTTATTATAACCAGTCGTATAGAGAAAATAGTGATATTGGGAAGTTTCTGCTGATTGTGTTAATCACAGATATAATGTAATCGAATAGAATTAAAGTTATTGTTTTCTGTATCAGTGAGAATACTGTCCAACAGTCACTATCTATCATGAAATACGCTCGAACTATCATGAAATATACCACAGATGTGCACTCATGGAGACAGTCAGCCAGTAGGCTACTGAGAGACAACCTGAAATGATTAATTCCCAAAAATGAGTAAAAAGAACCTAATGTGCATTGTGAAATTGTCTGGGAGATGACTACGAGAGGATAGGAAGCACTTGGAGATAATTACTTGAAGGTTCCGACGTATCTACTCTACAGGCACTACACCTGAGACGCAGGATATCTGAAGCTAGAGACTCAACCCTACAGATACAATATCTAACAATGGTGTTTGGTCAACGCTTTCACCGTTGAATCGACCTTTTTTTCAGGGATATTCATGCGTTGGTTCTAAGCCTCTGGCTGGCCCACTAAGTGTTATTTGTTTTACTTAAGCGGAGGGTGAGTATTTATGACTCATATATTCAGTTCAGGAAGATTTTACCCCATGTGTTTAACATATTCTTCTGCTCTGTTGAATCTAAGTCGAAATCTTATTGGGGTTTGTAACTGTGCACTGTGTTAGATAATGTTCCAGTGGTCTGTCGGGCATTTCTCCACAGTGCTGACATTTCCTCTCATTTTCCGCAACCTGTAAGCCTATTTCCCATGCACATGGGTGTCCGAGCGTGATGCATGTAAGTGCACTTCTGTTGCTCCACTGCTCCCTTTCATCAAACTAAGTGGTTCGTAATTGGCTGAATTCTTGTGCCAACCCGCAGATCCTGATGTTGCAACTGCTGTGTTGTGGTCACTGTACATCTTCTGCATTACTCTATTTCTAATTACTTTCTTAATCTGTGATAGACTCTGTGGTATGTAAATGTCTACATTTCTTCTCTTAATTGCAAGTTATGCAACTTCGTCTGCAATGTCATTTCCTATTATTCCCACATGACTTGGCATCCAGTTGATAAGTACCTGACAGCCTTGACGTTTGAGTGTTTGCATTAATGATATGACATTTGTGATCAGATAGATGTTATCACGTATGGGTTCTTGTTGCAAGGCTTCAATGGCAGTTCTCGAATCTGTATGATAACATGTCGGTAACAGGAGGAGCATGTTGCGCCGACATTGCTCATGGATATTATGACCACTTGGGGAAAGTTTATTATTCAATGCAGGAGGATTGGTAACAGTCCCTCTTGCTCATCATTCAACCCGTCCTCGACTCAAAGTCCATTACATTCAGCGGTCAACCCCACAGGCGCATTCATAAATTTTAACATGCTGTTCATTCAAAACGGGAATTTTCTTAGGTATAAATTAATATTATTATATATTAGCATATTGTGCATATATAGGTATAGGTTAGGTTAGGTGTTTAGGTTCTGTTGGCGATTATTTGTATTTGTAGTACGTGGGTGAAGCATTTATAGCGTTGTGGTTCGAACAAAATTCGTCAGTGAAGTACTTGTTCCGGATATGTTCGAACGTCAGCAGTTGTGAGTCGTGTGTAAACCGCTTTTCATTCATAAACAGGGGGTTTGGCGGGTGCATGGAATCACTTTTAGATCTTTGTTTGGAGGACCGGCTGCATGATTGCCGCCAAGCTCATATTACTGTGGACTTCAACACTGTCAGTGTTGAAGTTCGAACCACAACGCTGTAAATGCTTCACCCACGTACTACAAATACAAATAATCGCCAACAGAACCTAAACACCTAACCTAACCTATGCCTATATATACACAATATGCTAATATATTATAATATTAATTTATATTGGAGAACATTCCTGTTTTGAATGAACAGCATGTTAAGATTTATGAATGCGTCTGTGGGGTCGACCGCTGGATGGAATGAATCAACCCGTCCTCGACTAAAGTTCATTACATCCAGCGGTTATTTATCATCTACTAACAAAGAAAACCATTTACAAAATACTATTATATTCCGCCATTGCTCTATTACCCTCTTCCAAACCTCAATGGTACATATAGATCAAATTGCTTTACAAATGAGCGTTTCCATATGACTCGCTATGTGCAAGTAAGTAGGCCTAGCATCTTGGAAAAGTCAGGTCTTTATAATATATTGACCAATTCCTCTCATTTAATAATCTTGCAGACGTACAACATAAAATTGCATATTTACTCACCCATTACCATACCAACATTATCAAATATTATCCATGAAATCCTCAGATTAGGCAAAATTGTAATTAATTTTGTCAATAAAGATTTTAATAATAATAACATGACATGGTTTTTTTTTCCATCGATTGACAGAACTATATTTGAAATAAGTTAAATAGGCACTAAATCCATCTGGAATTTAACTAGATAATAAGAGCTCGAGTAGACTTACTTAGAGTCGAGGGTGGCCACGTGATCAGGAAGAGAACACGTGACAAGGAAGACACAGACAGCATAAGCAACGTGAGACGCACCTCCCGCCGCCATCTCCGCCGGACTGTCACTGTCGCCTCCCGGTAAACATTAGCAGATGACGCCCCACGTTCCGCTTTCCTCCAACAGATAGCTCTGCCTTCGACGCCATTGTAGAAAATGGTCGTTATGGCTAACTCGTGTATATCAAAATGCGGGTGATTTGTAACTTTAATTAATTTATTTATTTATTTGTATATATACATGAAGGTATATTGGGTTTATGAGAGTATATAGAAGCGTTCCACTGACGGTTCCGCTGGATGGAGAAGGTGTGCAATCATAAACTAATCAAAACTAGCTGACTAGTTTAAACTCTAAACTCAAAACTTTATCTGACTAAAACTAACTTTTGCCCGAAACGCTATGCTTACTAGTGGCTTTAGGTATTGTATGTACTAGCTCTATCTATAAATCCAACATTATGTTTCTAACTAATCATCTATGTATGTAAGTTGCTTAACGTTCTTGTTCTCGACAATGTTCAAGGTCGTACTCGAACCATTTTCTATTACGACAATTTTTGTCCTTATGTAAAGCATACGAGCGAAAAGCGACGTTCTTCGTAGAAGAACAAGTTGCCCGAAAAAGAACCCCAGTCGGTACTCAATACACAGAGAAATCACATGATATATCAGTGAACAAATCCACAGAGGTCCGTGATGAGGGTTCGAACCTGTGTGCTGAATGTCCCCCAAAGTTTTCTGTTACCTTTATTAGTAAAACTAATAAAACCTAAGCTCCAGAGCCCCTGAACCCTAAGCCTAAGGTGCCCCCAGAAGCGACTTTACTCCATATTGCTAAAAAAAAGTTTATGTTCACATCTCAGTTTTAATAACAATGCGAGAGTTCTGGTTAACGTTTGTCAAACATTTCTGGTGGTGTGTGTGGTGGAGCAGCGCCAGTAACTGCCCGAAACGCTTTGCGTAATAGTGGCTTTAGGCATTGTATGTGCACCCTAGATAGAGCTAGTAGGTAGGCTCGCTAGTAGATAGTCTAGCCTAGATAGACTAGATAGAGCTAATAGATAGACTAGATAGGCTCGCTTGTAGATAGACTAGATAGTCTAGCCTAGATAGACTAGATAGAGCTAATAGATAGACTTGATAGGCTCGCTTGTAGATAGTCTAGCCTAGATAGACTATATAGAGCTAGTAGGTAGACTAGATAGGCTCGCTTGTAGATAGACTAGATAGTCTAGCCTAGATAGACTAGATAGAGCTAATAGATAGACTTGATAGGCTCGCTAGTAGATAGTCTAGCCTAGATAGACTAGATAGAGCTAGTAGGTAGACTAGATAGGCTCGCTTGTAGATAGACTAGATAGTCTAGCCTAGATAGACTAGATAGAGCTAATAGATAGACTTGATAGGCTCGCTAGTAGATAGTCTAGCCTAGATAGACTAGATAGAGCTAGTAGGTAGACTAGATAGGCTCGCTTGTAGATAGACTAGATAGTCTAGCCTAGATAGACTAGATAGAGCTAATAGATAGACTTGATAGGCTCGCTAGTAGATAGTCTAGCCTAGATAGACTAGATAGAGCTAGTAGGTAGACTAGATAGGCTCGCTTGTAGATAGACTAGATAGTCTAGCCTAGATAGACTAGATAGAGCTAATAGATAGACTTGATAGGCTCGCTAGTAGATAGTCTAGCCTAGATAGAGCTAGTAGGTAGACTAGATAGGCTCGCTTGTAGATAGACTAGATAGTCTAGCCTAGATAGACTAGATAGAGCTAATAGATAGACTTGATAGGCTCGCTAGTAGATAGTCTAGCCTAGATAGACTAGATAGAGCTAGTAGATAGACTTGATAGGCTCGCTTGTAGATAGTCTAGCCTAGATAGACTAGATAGAGCTAGTAGATAGACTAGATAGGCTCGCTAGTAGATAGTCTAGCCTAGATAGACTAGATAGAGCTAGTAGATAGACTTGATAGGCTCGCTTGTAGATAGTCTAGCCTAGATAGACTAGATAGAGCTAGTAGATAGACTAGATAGGCTCGCTTGAAGATAGACTAGATAGTCTATCCTAGATAGACTAGATAGAGCTAGTATGTACTTGCTCTATCTATAAATCGATCAATTTGTGTAAAATCTCTTGTATGTATGTACCTTACCTGAATAAACATTTATTTATTTATTATATATTTATTAAAGGAGGTAATAGTGGGAACACAGACCTCGTTGGTGGCTGCGTAGGGGTCCCAAAACACTTCAGGCTTCAGCACCCCACAATATTAAGGACATATATAATATCAATGAGAGTGTTCAAGGTATGGGGCTATGGTCGGGTGCGTTGCTTGTCAACAGTATGCTGTCCAACATCACCAAATGAAGTGTTCCTTGCGTAACTGCTTCGTGAATCTGGCCCCTGCGCCTGGGGGTAGGCTCTGTCTTGGGTGTATCTCCTCACCCGTTGTTGGAGGGACATCCTCTTCGTCCTGCGGGGCTGGTCGAGCTTCGCAGAATTCGTGGTGCTGAGGACAACAAAGGAGTCCTTACGGTTATCTTGAGATGATTTCGGGGCTTTAGTGTCCCCGCGGCCCGGTCCTCGACCAGGCCTCCACCCCCAGGAAGCAGCCCGTGACAGCTGACTAACACTGTGAGGTACCTATTTTATTGCTAGGTAACAGGGACATAGGGTGAAAGAAACTCTGCCCACTGTTTCTCGCCGGCGCCCGGGACCACAGGATCACAAGTCCAGCGTGCTGTCTGCTCGGCCAACCGACTCCCTTGGATTGGCACGTACATACATAACATTTTATACAGCTGTTTGACCGAGAGGCCGAGCGTTCAGTGGGTTAATTTTCAGTCTAGTATGAAGATTATCTTAGATCTCCCCTTTATATTATTATTTAGGAAGCCTGGTCGACGACCGGGCCGCGGGGACGCTAAGCCCCGGAAGCACCTCAAGGCACCTCAAGGTAGGAATCGTAAAAACGTAGGTTGATCTGATTTGAGGACTTGTGACTAAATATATTAAATATTTGGTCAATGTTTGCCAGAACTAATGAGTCAGGAGCAATCCATTGCTTGTCAGACCAGCTCACTCTCTCCACCTGCTGGATGGGGTTCTGGGAGTTGTTCTACTGCCCAAGCCCAGCCCGAGGCCAGGCTTGACTTATGAGAGTTTGGTCCACCAGGCTGTTGCTTGGAGCGGCCCGCAGGCCCACATATACCTGGTTGATGGGGTTCTGGGAGTTGTTCTACTGCCCAAGCCCGGCCCGAGGCCAGGCTTGACTTGTGAGAGTTTGGTCCACCAGGCTGTTGCTTGGAGCGGCCCGCAGGCCCACATATACCTGGTTGATGGGGTTCTGGCAGTTGTTCTACTGCCCAAGCCCGGCCCGAGGCCAGGCTTGACTTGTGAGAGTTTGGTCCACCAGGCTGTTGCTTGGAGCGGCCCGCAGGCCCACATATACCTGGTTGATGGGGTTCTGGGAGTTGTTCTACTGCCCAAGCCCGGCCCGAGGCCAGGCTTGACTTGTGAGAGTTTGGTCCACCAGGCTGTTGCTTGGAGCGGCCCGCAGGCCCACATATACCTGGTTGATGGGGTTCTGGGAGTTGTTCTACTCCCCAAGCCCGGCCCGAGGCCAGGCTTGACTTGTGAGAGTTTGGTCCACCAGGCTGTTGCTTGGAGCGGCCCGCAGGCCCACATATACCTGGTTGATGGGGTTCTGGCAGTTGTTCTACTGCCCAAGCCCGGCCCGAGGCCAGGCTTGACTTGTGAGAGTTTGGTCCACCAGGCTGTTGCTTGGAGCGGCCCGCAGGCCCACATATACCTGGTTGATGGGGTTCTGGGAGTTGTTCTACTGCCCAAGCCCGGCCCGAGGCCAGGCTTGACTTGTGAGAGTTTGGTCCACCAGGCTGTTGCTTGGAGCGCCCCGCAGGCCCACATATACCTGGTTGATGGGGTTCTGGGAGTTGTTCTACTGCCCAAGCCCGGCCCGAGGCCAGGCTTGACTTGTGAGAGTTTGGTCCACCAGGCTGTTGCTTGGAGCGGCCCGCAGGCCCACATATACCTGGTTGATGGGGTTCTGGGAGTTGTTCTACTCCCCAAGCCCGGCCCGAGGCCAGGCTTGACTTGTGAGAGTTTGGTCCACCAGGCTGTTGCTTGGAGCGGCCCGCAGGCCCACATATACCTGGTTGATGGGGTTCTGGGAGTTGTTCTACTCCCCAAGCCCGGCCCGAGGCCAGGCTTGACTTGTGAGAGTTTGGTCCACCAGGCTGTTGCTTGGAGTGGCCCGCAGGCCCACATACCCACATATCCACTCTCACTATTCTTGCTCTCCTCTTCCCAGGCGCTCAGTGACGGGTCCTGACGGCTACTGATGACCCTTTCCCGTTGTGAGAAATTTGTAAACCTCACTCCCCCGTGTGACAGCTTGTAGAGGGAATCTTAATGCTTTTCAAACACCTGACTCGTCACATGTTGAGGCGTTCATTTGTTACCATTGTTCACGGTCTTTCTGTTCTGTTAAGGTGGTGGGATTCGACTCATAATTGTTACATGATCCACTTCCTAGCCACCGTACACTGTTATTTTGTTTCTATGTTTGGACTTTACGTGTAAACTAACCAATATATTTTGTTCATTACGTCTTAGTTCAACAGTTTTACTGATTATGCGACTCCTCGCAAACACCCTTCATGTAATGGCTTCATTTTGACGAGATATTAGGAGGCGATTCACGCATTCTGGCACCCTTATACCCTATAACAATGGCACCTGGCACCCCTGATACCCTATAACAATGGCACCTGGCACCCCTGATACCCTATAACAATGGCACCTGGCACCCCTGATACCCTATAACAATGGCACCCCTGATACCCTATAACAATGGCACCTGGCACCCCTGATACCCTATAACAATGGCACCTGGCACCCCTGATACCCTATAACAATGGCACCTGGCACCCCTACACCAGTCGCTAATATAAAGGGAAGGAAATAACATTTGTCTTCATGTGTTAAATTTAACGCGCTTTAAAATTCTACTTCACTGAGAACACATCTCTCTCCC